TCGTGACACCTAGTGCTTTCTATCCATAACCTTTTCTGAGCTCGGCAAATACGGACAGTGCTGTTATGGCCCTGACTGTTTACCTCTGCCAGAATTTTAGCTCACTTAAAATAATTATATCACAGGTTACAAACCAATGGTCTGTGAGCCAAATCTAGCCCATCCCGTCTGCTTTGGAGGTGCTAAAAAAAAAAAAAAAGGTTGAGTCACACTTTAAAACAGAAATTTTACATAAAAATTTGGATATCTAGGTTTCCTCTGAAAAATTCGATCTAGCAACAGTAGGCAACACCTGGCTGAAACATTCCTCTCCCATTTAGAAAGGATACATACTCTCCAGCTTGCCTAGTTTCTACATTCCCTAGGGTGTCCCAGACACTGAGGCCTGGCCTTGCTTCACTCATTGACATACTTGCTGGATCTGTGACACCCGAAATGTGTTCAAAAGAGAGGTTTAAAGATAGTACTGTAAGTATCAGTCTAGTCTAGTGTGTCTCAATGGTATGCTACTGATGTGATAGTTTGGGACACAATAATTCATCATGCAAGCCTGTTCCATGTGTCACAAGGTCTTTAGCATCCTGGCCCTTCCTGTAAAATCCCCGAAACACCCCCAAGTGGGCCCTAGAGAGGCAATAGTATCTCAGGCTGACAACCACTGTTAACATGTTAAGTCTGGCGAGGTGAGCATATCCCAGGTTTGAAGAACAGTTAGCCTTGTCGTGAGAGGACTCTTAAGAAAATAAAGGAATTCTTTTTCTCTGACTGGCCTGGTCCAAATAATACCTGTTGAACAGAAACATGTATACTAGTATATACCTTTGGAACTTTCATCCATTTTCTTGCTGCTTTGTAGGTTTTGATTTTAGATCATACTTATTGAGCCATATCTATATACTAGGCATTGTGCTACATGCTTTATCTCATTTAATCTCTACTATCATCTGATAGACAGAAGAGGTAATATCATCCACATTTTATAAATGAGGAAATGTGAGGCTCAGAGAAGGGTAAATAATTTGCCTTTGGGTCACACAGTTAACCAGCAAAGCTAGGATACAAACTTGAAGTCTATGCTTTAACCATTCATTATTCTTCTGTACTGTTGACTCACATATTTGATGCATCTATCTCATATTCTGTTATAGTCTCAAGAGATATACTATGGACCAAAATGATATTCATATTAAAAGCATTCTCAAGTTAAATATAGCCCCCAGAAACAAACAGAAGCATATTCACATTAAATTTAAACTTAATGCCTCTCCCCCCAAGTGAATATGTATTTGCCAGGCGCCACCTATACAGGACTTATCATTCATGCCACTCCCTGACTTCCCCCACCAACCTACCCCCAAAGTAAAAATAAAAGTACTTGGGATCTCTTCCCAATTCTGAGGTTAGTAACAAGGAGGTAGGATATTAAAAAACAAACAAAGCTTAATGACCTTATATAGTGGTAATCTGAGAAACTGTCACAGCTAAGAGGAGCCTAAAGTGACATGACAACTAAATGAAAAATGGTATTCTGGTGGGATCCAGAAACAGAAAAAAAACATTAGGTAGAGACTAAGGAAATCTGAATAAAGTACAGACTTTAGTTACTAACAATGTTTCAATACTGATTAATTGTAATAAATGTATTATGCTAATGTAAGCTGTTAATAATAGAGGAAACTGGGTGCAGTGTATATGGGAACACCCTGAATTGTCTTCTCCATTTCTCTGTAAAATCAAAACTGTTCTAAAAAATAAAATCCACGTAAATTTTTTTTTTTTAATTACCTCAAGATGGTTTATGAGCGCTGGCAGAGAAGTCTTATTTACACCTCCAGCTCTGAAAGCACCTTTTCACTAGTCTGGAAATCTGACAAAATAAGGAGTTATCCTTTTCCTAACTTCCCAACTCAATATGGAAAAATGACGAAAACCCATAGAGTTCTGGTGCCCTAAAGTAACAGCAAACGGAATGCTAAACCACACTTTTAGAGCACGTGGTTCTTTCCCAAGTATCATCACAAGTTGTTGAATCTTCCTCTTTTCATTTAGGTCACAAATATCTTCTACATTTAATTCTAATTAAATTCTACATTATCCCACAGGAGATAGAAGTTCAGAAAGACGAAAAGATAACCCACCACTTGTTTTCTTAAGGCTTTTGCAGCGTATCCGGTAGTGACTTGCCTCCCTGAACCCCCCATTCTATTTAGAGAAGAAAGGATGAGCCCAGGCCTATCAAGCATATATAAAATTTTTTATTGCATACCCAAAATAGCATACAACTTTAAAAAAAAATACTATTATATAACCCATTTCTGTTCCACGAAGAGCTATTTATATATAGAATAGTAGCTTTATTGGCTTATTTCTGACAAATGAGCATTCTCTCTCCCATCATTTAGAAGCTATCTTCAATCCTGGTAAACCCAGTAAATTCAATGTTAACTTTATCATTTTAGGGCAAATACTGACTTACATCAGAGCCATCATGCATACGTTTCTAATTAATCTCCTGACTCAACCTCATTTTGTAACCACAGCAGAGCTAAAATAACATACACTGTTTATACTATATAAATTCAGCACTTTACCATACTTATTGCTTTTCAATTTCTCAGTTATTTTATCTTAAACATTACCCCAAAAATGAATTCCCAAGTATGAGCAAGAAGTACAGTGCAACTACATGAATGCTATTTTCTATCATGTGTAATAGCTTTTTCCAATCTCCAATATGACAATGCAAAATCCACCCCCCATTCTTTACTTTCTCCCATTGATTTCAATTAGCACAGCTTTCTCCCCTTCCTAAATGTCATTGTATGTTTATTACCACTTTCAGCACTTGAAATAATGTTTATGAACTTTTTATTATCCTCTAGGTTTTATCGCTAAGAATCTTGAGAACGAAAATCAAACATACTCTTTTAGTTATAATGCCTTGTACACAATAAATACTTAGTATAAATGACAAAATGCAGGACTTTTAAATAACTGGAAAAATAATTTGCTCTGGTTGAGGTGCTCCAAAGTCTTTGTTGGGTCAATTCTTAAATGGAATTATTTAAAAAGAAAGGCTGGACAACCCATTGGTAACATGCCAGAGACAGATCATCTCCGCATTTTATTACTTAAACAAAGAGATTACTTAGAATAGTGTTTTTCAAATGGTGGAATATAACCTATTAGTGAATTATGTAATAAATTTACTGGGAGATGACAACTATTTAAGAAAAAAAAGAAACATAATAGAAAATATTAGAGTGCTTCACACATAGTAATGGTACATACTGATTGACAAAACTTGTCTGAGGGGTGTTTGTGTGTGTACTAGATCATGACTAAAATGTCTTACTATGGGTTGCTTTGAGAAATACTAAGAATATGGTGCGGTATTCTAGGTTACATGTAAGAAAAATATATAGCACCTTTCCTTTTTACTTTTATCTGAATAGATGGCAGTTTTCTAATGAACAAAGTGGAGTTATTTGAGAAATGTCTGGATATGAAAGCTGAAACAACACTTTGTCATGAATTTTTATGTCACTTTATTTTTCTCAAATGTAGCCTCAATGTGTTTTGTGTAGCTCCCTCACATACTATTGGAGGCTCCAGTTTTCTAAAAGGTTTTTTAAGAAATGAGTTATCAGTCTCATTAACCTAGAAATTCAAGATCACAAACTGTCGGAATTTTCTACTGGAAGGGTTTGAAAGACTGACAAAAATGCCATTTACAATAATTTATTTTACAATGTCTAGCCAGACAATATTCCTGAATCCCTTGTTCATTCCGTTAATAAAACCTGAGCACTCAACTTGGAGATACAGAAGGCTTCATGCCCTTGAACTGAGAGAAACACACCTATGGGTTATAATAGAGTGAGGTTAAGTCCTACAAGTTGTCAGAAAAAGAAACAATTAAGGTAGGACGAGGAAAAGGAACACGAAGGAAAGCTTCATGCGAGAGATGACATTTAAGCTGGGGTGCAAAGAAAAGTAGGATTAAAAAAATAAAAATAAAATACACATCTTCTAACCCAGTGGTTCTCAACTGGGGACGATTTTGCCCTACAAGGCACATTTGTCCATGTCTGGTGCCATTTTTGGTTATACTGGGGAGGAGTGCTATTGATATTTGCTGGGCAGAGGTCAGGGACAATGCTAAATATCCTACAGTACAAAGGACATCCCCTGACAACAAAAAATTATCTGGCCCCAATGTCAAAAGCGCCAAGGCCAAGAAACCCTGAACCTAACCTCAGTATAATAACCTTGTTTTACACAAGAAGGTAACTGAAGGCTAGAGGATTTTAAAACGTGCTAAAAAGCCAAGATTATAAAACAGGTTTCATAACATCTTGTCCAGTGTTTAAGTCATAACACACACCCATGTATGCTGTTATACTAGAAAACAGATGTTAAAAAGAATGGAAATCTTTATAAGCATTGTTAAATAGACTTTCTTGATACAGATGTATAAATGGTTCAAAGCAAGAATTATGCTACATTTGAAAAATTATTCCGATTTGTTCATAATACTAGATTTATTATCTATACGACTCAGTTATTGAACATAGATCTGAGAGTAAGAAAAATGACAATAAACCAGGAAGTTTAAAGATCAGCATATGCATGCATACCTAGTTACTCCTTGGGGCAGGTCCTTCATGCTCCACCAGCTCCAACCACTGAGGATCTGGGACCTGGGTAGGATTTGCCCCTTTTATTCAAAATCAATTGCTAAATCACCCTTTCATTTGCATGTGAACTTTCTAATGGCAAATGGACTGTACAAAGAACTTGCTTAGGGTCCTGATTTAGGGCTTAAATCTAAACAAATGAAATCACCTGGACAACTTTTTCTTGATCTTAAATGCACAAAAGTGAATGGGGACGAAGAGGGTGGGGTGCTATTAACAGCAACATGGATTAGTTTCCAAAAAACTTTTTTGCTCTAATATAATTACAGGAATACACAGACACAGATATACATTCCTTACCTCCAATTTATCAATTTGTGCAACTTCAACTATGATACCTTGTCCAGTTTGACACGTGGCAATTCACAATCAAAACCTTGAAGGCTGAAGACACTGTCCTGAAAAAAGGAAAGACCAACGAGGTAAGATTCAAACAGTGTTAAAGACAGCGTGAGCAAGTGATCCAGTGTACAAATAAAAGGTCACAAAAAATAAAGCAGCCATTTGTACACCTTTACTGCTACTTGAAATTACAGTGAATGAAGTTTATGTTCGATAGATACTAACAGTAAGTTTACCTGACTGCCTGAGCCCCCCTGCCCGCCTTCCCAGTCAGTCACCTCTATTGCCTAAGGCAGAGCTGGCAAAAGCAGAGGGGATGGCCAAAGCTTTTCGGAGGTTTTAGCTTCAGAGAAAGCTAGCAAGAGAAACTTCAGTTACTTCCCTGGCAAACCATCAGGGGTCCCTATGGCTCCCCACGATATATTACATTTTAAATAGGTTTGATTACAAAACTGTGCTGAGGCCCTTAAAGGACTGAAATTCAGAGAGGTGAGCCCAGCAATCCAGAAGAAACTAGAGGTTAAACTGTATGTGATAGGCTGAGAGGGACCACCAAAGGAAAATCCTCTTCCCTCACCTTCAGCTTAGAAACCTAAAGGGCTGAACGTTCGAAATAAGGGTGAACCAGAAATTAATCAGGCCATATATTGAATGCAACTAACTGGCCTTGAGTCATGTTGGTGGGCCCAGAAAAAAATCTTAAAAGCTGAGATTAGACTAAGTAATCCTGGATTCCCTCAAGCAGAGGCCACCAAAAAAATCCTTTCTGGAAGATATCATCCTTGGTCTCAAATGATTTCTCTGACAGTTTTTCAATTCCGAAACCTAGCAATACAACAGAAGACAACCAGGCATACAAAGAGATGAGAATAAGATCGAAAGCCGTAGAAACAACAAACAACAAAAACAGACTCACAGGGACTCCAAATATTAGATTATTAAACATAGATTTTAAATTATGTTTATTATATTCAAGGAGATGAAAACCGAACTTAATCTCAGCAATGAAATAGAAACCATAAAAAGTGACAAAGCAGATTTTTAAAAGAAGCAAGGAGTAATTCTGTAACTGAAAAACACAAAAACTGAAATTAAGAATTCTTTGAACAGGTTTAAAAGCCAATAGACAGTTGAGGCAATAAATCAAGATAGATCAGGGGAAAAGGTTCAGAATGAAGAGAGGGTAAGAAACATGAGGATATAGTGAGGAGGTCTAAAATTCAACACAGTTCATTAGAATCTCAGAAGGAAAAGAGAGACAATATGGGGAAGAAGCAATATTTGAATTGCTGAAATTTCCCAAAAATGACAAAAGATGTCTAACAACAAATGTGAGAATCTCAATGAATTCCTAGTTTGAAAACCCACAAAGAAAAACTTAAGCATCCCGGGGTGGGGGGGGGGATACTTTCAAAGAAGCAACAGTTAGCTTAATTCTCAACAACAAAAATGGAAGCTAAAAGACTGTGTAATAATGATATATCTACGGAGCAGAAAGAAAAACAACTGTCAACCGAGTACTACTGTACTGCAGAGAAAATACCCATCAAGAATGAAAACGAAATGTTCTCAGACAAATAAAAATGAGGTTCATGTCCAGCACATCCCCACTAAGAAATCATAAAGCAAAAGGAAACTGACCCAAAATGGAAGTTCAAAGATGCAAAAAGGAATGAAGAACCATGAAAATGTAAGTAAGCATGTGACAAATTTAATGGAACACTGACAGTGTAAAATAATAATATAATGTCTTATGGGATTTAAAATGTACAGAAATTTATCTCCAAACTCATTAAGTTATATACATTAAATATGTACAGCTTTTTGTAAAAATATATATGTATATAGGAAATTAAATTACAGGACGACAGCACGTGTGTCAGGAGGTGAGTAAATGGAACTAAGGTGCTTTCAATGTTCTTGTTTGTTCTGTTTCTGTGAAAAATACCATTGGGATTTTGATAGGAATTGCACTGAATATGTAGACTGCTTTGGGTAGTATGGAGTTTTAACAATATTAATACTTCCAGTCTACCAACACAGAATATCTTTACATTTATTTGTGTCTTCTTCAATTCTTTCATCAGTGTCTTGTAGTATTCAATATACAGGTCTTTGACCTTCTTTGTTCAATTTATTCCTAGATATTTTATTCTTTTTGATGCAATTGTAAATAGGATTGTTTTCTTAATTTCTTTCTGATAGTTCCTTTTTTTGAGTATTAATTTTGCATCCTGAAACGTTTACTGAATTTGGTTTTTAGTTCTAACAGTTTTTTGTGGCTTGCGATTTGTAACATGGACAGACCTGGAGAGCATTATGCTAAGTGAAAAAAAAGGACAGAGAAAGACAAATACCGTATGATCTCTAAAAAAAGAAGTTCATAGATACAGAGAACAGACAGTACCCTCTATTATCACTTCTATTCAATATTATTGGGTTGTTAGAGAAGTCATGACGCATTTTTGCAATAAACAAGATAGAAAAAATACGTCATGACTTTTCCGACAACCCAATATAATCTAAGTACTAGTCAACACAATAAGAAATAAAAGTATAACTTATTGAAAGGAGGAACAAAAAAAACTGAAGATAAATTACTAAAAGTAATAAACATTTAACACAATTGCTAGATACAAAATTGATATACAAATGTCAACTGTATTTTTATAAACAAAATGAAGTCTATGAAAATTTACAATATGAGAAAATATCAAATATCTATGAATACAATCTCAAAAGTTGTGAATGACTTTCTGGAGAAAATGATAAACACTGAGAGAAATTAAAGAGGACCTAAATAAATGGAGCAGTATATCATGTTCATGAATTAGAAACAGTATGATATAATTGCTCTCTAGATTCCATGCAAATCCAATCCAAGTCCCCAACAGGTTTTCTACATGAATGTGTGTATGTGTGGTATGTGGAAAGTGACAAGATACTAAATTTCATATAAATGTGCAAAGTACCAAGAATAGCCAAAATTCTCTCAAAAGACAACAAGGTGGAAGAACTTGTTCTACTGAACATCGAGACATGATAAAGCGATAGTCAAAAAGACAGTGTGGTATCAGTACAAGGACTAATGAAGCAGAATAGACAGCCTAGAAACACAACCACAGATAAAGGGATATTTGATTCCTGATAATAGTAGGGAGAGGCAGTATGCTGGTAAAATTAGCTATCCACGTGGATAAACAAGAATATTGTCCCCTTCCTCACAGGATGCACCAAAATCAATTTCAGCTGGATGCTAGACCTATACATTAAAGCCAAAACAATAAAGCTTCTGGAGGATGAGTATGTTTAAGACTTTGGGACGAGGAAGGCTACTTTAAACTGAACCTGATGGCTAGTTTAAACATAAAGGAAAATTGATAAATCAGGCTACACTAAAATTAATAACTTTGGTTTATCAAAAGGCACATAAAGATGAAAAAGCATGCCCTTGCCAAGGGACCATTTCTATCATATAATAAAGAACTACAAATCCGAAAGTCAAAATAGGCAAGGAAACACATGATACATTTTTAAAGGAATTCCACACCAAAAAGTTATGAAAGTCCAAACCTCAGTTACCTAGAAGATTTAGTTTTAAATACTCTTTCTCTGAGATTTACACAGTTAAAGATTTCACTATATGTTAACATTTAAAAATTTTTTTAGATGCCCATATTAAAATAAACCAGTTCTCTCATTTTTTATCTAGTTAGAACTCTAAAACAAATACTTTATCATTGAAAAAGTCCTGTTTGAGAAATCTTTCCTATACCAAGGTCACAAAGACATTCTACAAAAACTGAGACCTACATATCCATCAGCAACAGCACGATATATAGTGATATATTCACACAAGGGAATAGATAGTAATGAGAAGGAATAATCTGCAACTACACATATTATAAATAAATTTCACATTCATAATGCTCCACAAGGTAGTACAGTGGAATTCCATTTATATAAAGTACAAAAGTAGGCAAAACTAATCTGATATTAAAAGTCAGGATGATGGCTGGGAGACAGGGTGGGAAGTGACCAGAAGGGCAAACAAAGGGGCTTCTAAGTGGCTGGTAACTAACTTTCACTTTCTTGATCTGGGTACTGGTACAGAAGTGTGCCCAGTTGGTGAAAATTCACAGGACTATTCACTACTGATGTGTCTCTCTGCATATACCAGGGGTGCCAAGAAAATTATACAAGTGGACACTTTGGTGAATGGTATTCAAACAGTAGTTCGCCGTAATCAGAAGTGTCTGGACGCTGATGGTAACCATTTTGAGCACCCCTTGTAGTTGCAGAAGTCAGACGTGACTTGTATTCATCTTTTGTTATCGGTACATTTTAATAATTTTTTTTCCTTTCCTAAAATGTGTATACATTTTTTGGTACCCTCTGTATATTAAACAGCAATAAACTCTTACATGTGAAGGAGTGCCTATTTTTTTAAATTAGTGAGGGGATGAGAGCAAAAAGGTTTGAAGTCCATTGCTTTAGCTCAAAGCACAGAAACCAAATAACAAAAACTAAAAAAAAAAGCAGATATTAGACAACATGCTAATTACCAAAAAATAGTCATAGAGGTGCAAAACCAACTAGTGACTCTCAAACTTACAGCAATATTGGTTTGAAACAAATTAAACCTCCCCCAAATAAATTGATTTATATCTACATTTAGTAGCTAGTGTTGATTCATAAAAGTCTAAGACAAGCAACCTGGTCTTTTAGGGTTTTTATTAAATAAGAGTCTTTCAAATCTCAGAAATGAATGAACAGATTCACATATCTAGTCACATCTCCTAATTCTACAAATGAAGAAACCAAGGTCCTTTGAAGTTGCGTGATTTGTCTAAGGTCATAAGCAGCTCTTGATAAGTAGAAACAACTGAAGTTATTTAATTAAGTTCACCCCTCTACCAATTTTCTAAAAGTTCTAGGGGATTTCCACCCACCAAGAGAGTTTGTTTACTGGAAGTGTCCCTCAATACATACCCTATTTAATTAAAACATTTTCATTTAAATGTTACCAATTAAAAATTAGGGGCCGGCTGAGTGG